ATTCACTATTTAAATATTTAACAAAATACGAAAAAAGAAATATAATTTTCTACAAGAATCTTTTGTGATCAAATACTTATCTACGCTTTTATTAGATTCGCGCGAAACTCCATACCCCATATCCATCACGCTGCGCGGTTCGCGCGAAACTGATTCTCGTGCGAGGTATCGCGAGCGTGAGACCGAGATCACGTGACTAGTAGACCCACTGGTCATGTGACCACTGGTCATGTGACCATCGGTCCCGCGCTCGCGATACTCCGCACGAAAATCAGTCTCGCGCGAGCCGCGCAGCATGACAGACGTGTGGGATATATTAATCTGATGAAAAGGATAGAAAGAGAGAGTTGCCTTAGTCGGGCCCGGTTTATTCTTGGCTGTAAGTTAGGTTTCGCCGTTAGATGGCAACACCGTTACTGTTCAGAGTTTTGCGGGCCTACATCCCACACATCCGTCACGGTGCGCATTTCACGCGGAACTGATTCTCGTGCGAGATATCGCGAGTACGAAACTGATGATCACGTGGTCAGTTTGGCACAAGCCGTGCAGCATAGCGGACGCGCACAGACGCGCGAATCTAATGAAAGTGTAGATATTTTGAATCAAAAGATTCTTGTAGAAAATTCTATTTTTTTGTCATCTGTTAAAAATTTATATAATGAATTTATATGAACCACATAATTAATAAATATATTTTTATGCATGCATTGCAATAGTAATTTTATACATGCGTTACATTGTTTTATCAAAAGGTTTTATCAAAGAATAATATAACTTCGCTTCGCGCATGTAATCAAGATTTTTTTCTTATACACAAGGACTACATCGATATAAAAAATAACAATAAAAATCTATATAAGCGCAAAAACATAAAAATTATTGCAAGAAGAATTAAACATTGTTGACTCAGGAATCGAGTTTATGTCTCAATGTGATTGCATTCAAAAATGCATTTAATTCTTCTGATTTTTCATGTTCAAACTCACTATCAAAATTCTACTCATAATAAATATTATTTCAAAATAATATTTCTTTAGAAATATTATTTCGAGTATTTCTAGACATCGAGCAACAGATCTGAATTTCTAGAAGTAACGATTTTCTCCCCACTGTTATTATTATACTATTGCTTGTTAGTGTAATTATAGCCACATACAGTGTGTGTGATACTTTCAAGACCTGATCAGTGTCCACATAATTAAGATGACCATCTTTTTGAATTGAATGCCGGTATCAGTGTTATAGTTGTAATTATTGTAGTTATATAGAGACTTGCTTAACTAAAATAACGTAATTGTACTGAAATAGTAGAGTGTATAATACCTGCGAGTTTGTTCTGATTTACATCAGGGGAGTTTGTTACAGATAATCTTATTGTTTTCGTTATTATCACTGTTGCTTCCATCAGCACGTACAAACTGATTGTCTGGATAATCAAAGAATAATAAATTTTTTAATAAATTGTATAAAGCATATTTTTTAATTCTATTATTGAATATGAAAAAATTCCTAAATATTCATAAATATTGCTAATTGTAAGATCAATTAACAAGCAATAAGGATACCAAAATATAGTAAATATATGTTTAAAATTAAACATACAATAGTATTGAAGTGCAAATTATATTATTGATATATTTTTGTCTTACAATATAATCTAAAGTGCGAAATTTCTACACTGTCTCTTTAATATTCACACTTTTATTATAATATGTACACTTTAATATTAATTAGTTTTAAATTAAAGAAAATTTTCATTATAATAGTCTTAATCAAGAAAAATTAATTGTATTGATTTACAAAAGTATTCGATTTATAAAAATAATGTTGATTTAAAAAAATTGTAGATTTCAAACTATGTATACCGTGATTGATACAAATTTTAGTATATCGTGATATTGCGCGTTACGGATCGCATCTTATTCGCATAAAATTCGAACTTATTAATGAATTCATCCCAAGATATGTTATTTTCTTAGTTATAACTTGGAAATTTTTTATTTTACCAATTTAGCATCTTGTACAAGATTTATACATATATCCTCCGAAGATTTCGAAAGTTTTTAATAATATCTTGGGTTTTCCCTATCTCTTTGACATTTTCATAATTCCAATAACTATGTTTGCGAATGAGCCAAATACATTGTACATGTACAAGCATGCAAGATTTTAAATTTGTATTTGATGGTCCGATAAAATATTTGTTTAAAAAATTTTGAAGTTATTTCCATTATCAAAATTCTTTGGAAGAGCATTGTACAATACATGTCCAAAACTACACGAGAACTTTTTAATAAAAAACAGAACTGTCGTAATACATCTGCAACTTAAATTTTTTATTCGAAAATATGAGTTTTTCGGATAAAATAATTGTTTAAAAATTTTTTATTATTTCCATTATCAGAACTTTTTGGAAGAGAATTGTACATGTTCAGGTCCAGAACTACACGAGAACTGTTTGATAAAAAACAGAACTGTCATAATATACCAGTAGCCCATATTTATATTAAAAATCAATTTCTTTCACGATTTTGTCGCTGTGCGTACTGTCATTATCATAACCGCGGTCTTGATCGCTCGGAATCGACCACTAATCATACGCGGAAAAGCTGCAACAATACGCGCGATACATTTACTCCAAATGTACACTTCTCAGTACAATGATTTTTTTTATATAAGAGGATAATAGGATATAAATCACATTTTTTAAAAATAAATAATGCTTATGCACACATGAATTTGCGTATCGATAACTTTAATAGATTATATATACTTTAATATACCATTAATGCTCTTTTCGTTAAAAATATTGTTAACAATTAATGCAATAATTAAAACTCTATAGATTATTACCTTTATCAAAATACGCTTAAATTGATGATATATATTTATGGAAATATCATTAAAATTTTCTTTTTATACAACAGCTGTTAATTTATAAAAAATAAAAATGTATGAATACGTACAAATACAAAATAATTGTAAGAAGAAACAGCATCTTAATTTAGAGATCGATCTCGAAAATTGAGTACCCTGTTTAATGCAATCGCGAACACATCGAATTCTCTTGATATTTTATTTTGTCTAGGATTCGTCACTGATTCTACTCATATTTCCAAATCAGTGTCTTTATTGTTCCTCGTTCTCTTCGGGATGTTGAGCGATATATTGAAGAGCTTTCTTGATTAGTGGAGCTACGGCTAAATGAGCACCTTCCGGTTGGAATTCGTTCTCGTTGACTACATATGAGACCTGAAGATATTTCCTTCCGCATCAGTATAGCTGTAGCTACCTCGAGCCCCCAAAGTCTCCTGTTCGGTGTTTATATGATTGAGGTAACCATCCTCCTGAGCTTGAATATCACTATCAGTGTTGTAGCTGTAGTTATAAAGAGGCTTACTGCTTGATGGTGGGTAATAATCCAAGATTTCTGGTCTCGCAGTCAATTGTTCTACTGCTATTTATTGTAATTTATAGTATTGACTGTAATCTTTTCGCTATTATCAGTACTGCTTTCTTACTCATAAAGTGATAACCTGGAATATAAAATATAGAATTATATAGATCGCATATAATATATGGTCCATGAATCATGAATTGTAAATCTGACTCATATTGTACTATATAGTAAGAAAAGAGATTTCTAAATATTCTTATATTGAAAAATCAATTAACAAGTAATACAAACGCGAAAATATTTTTGTAATGTAAATATGTGTCTACAAATTAGACATATAACCATAAAGACCAATTTATTATTAGTACAATATTATTCTTAGCTTATCTTAGGATATATATAATTTGTTAAAATACTTTACAATTATACTTTTTTGTATATAACTAATAATATTTTCGTACAATTAGTAATATGATAATATGTTACAATTGGCAATATGACATTAATTGATCTATTTAAAATTTTAATCAAAAATTAAAGTAGCTCTATATTTCCCATATAAAATAATTTTCAAGAAACACGGACAACATATGTAGCAATGTAAAGTGCTACATATATAATATATATATATATATATATATATATATGACTTATTTGTGTACTTTGTAACATTTATTATAAATATTTGTTCCATATAAATTTAGCGCTATTTAATATATATTTTTATTCTTTGATATTATTAATTACACTTTTAACTAAAGGTAGTTCTTTATAATTATCTAGATCTAGAAAGTAATTGTTTGTAATAATAAATTAAACAATCGGAACAATTTAAAAAAATTACACATTTATGTACATAAATAAGTCGTGACAATGCGTTATGTAATTTTTCGGTTGTCAAACTCAAACTCACCAATTGATTCATGTTGAAAATATATACCATATATTATTTCATAGCTGTTCCTCCGAAATTTATCACTATACTGACTTCTAACATCTTGTGCAGGCTTTATATGTATATCTGCCATTCGAGAAGTTTGTAGAACTTCCTATAATTATTTTTTTTCTAAATATTTCTTTCTGTTCCTAATTATTTTATTGAAATCTTTCATCCCTCAGATCTCCTTGCCAATCATTTTAACAGGCAATAACATGTTTCGAGAATTATGGAGCCTCATTAACACACACATATGCAGAACTTGTTCTCCTTGGTAAGATTTTAAATCTGTGACGATGTCTGTGCCTAAAATCGCAGAAAGTTGAAATTGAATTTAGACAAGAGACATAACTTTCTTATTTAGGATCACAGGTCTGAATTATAAAATTATAGAATTTTTATTAATTATTGTAAATTTATTATTCAAAAATGTTACTTAATATATAATTATTACATTATTACATTATAAAAATGTATAATACGATACTATAATTTTTAAAATTTATACAAAATTATAAATTTATAAATTATATTATAGTAAAAATTAGTTTAATGAATGTGTGAAGAGAGACTATTTTAACAAAAAATATAAAGAAAAAAAATATATGAGAAAAATCAATTGATTACATAAGTATTGACATGATTATCTCGAAAGACATGCAATGTGCCTTTATCTATAGAATCAAAAATTAATAGTTTTACGTACATAATTTACTGATACAAATACAAATATAAAAACACAAAAACAATCACAACAAAAAAAAGACGAGTCCGAGATAGTCGATCTCGACAAAGATTAAATATCTGTCGATCTTTGCTGCGACTACAACGGTATGCACTAAGCTTTTTATGATCTATTATTTTGTCAAAGTTTGCTTGCAATTTGTCGATTTTACTCATATTTTTAGCATATTACGTCCTTATTCTCCGTTCTCTTCGGGATGTTCGGCGATGTATTGAAGGATCTTTTTAATCAGTGCTGACATTGTGGGCAAGTGAGCACCCTTTGGCTGAAATCCGTTTTCATCGGCTATATATGAAATATGGAAAGTGTTGCCATCGTTATCAGTATAGTTGTAGTTGCCACGCACGTTCAAAGTCCCCTGATCGGTGCCCGCATTATTGAGATAACCGTATTCTTGAGCCTGAATACCGTATCAGTATTATAGTTATAACTGTAAAGAGACTTGTTTGGCCTTGGATAATGGTTTTGGCGTAATAGTGTTGGAGATCGTATATCAATGAACTTGTTAAGATTTAGATCATCATAATCATCTATTTCAGAAGAGTTTATTGCACGTAATCTTTCTGCTTTCGCTATTATTACTACTGTCATTTCTATCAATACACACAATGTGATTGTCTGAAAAACCAAGAATAGTTTTTAAAATTATAAATTTAATTTAAATTATATATTATGGAATACAATAGAATTTTTGATTGTTTATATATTGATAAAATTGATTAACAAGCAATATATGAACATCGAAATATCTCTGTAGTGTAAATACGAGTATAATGTGCTCGCGTTAACATATAAATTATAATGTATCTAATACTGAAAAGTAATATATTATCGTTTTACACTGTGCATTCTCGTCTTACAGTATATAATTTGATAAAACACTTTGTATGACGAGCAAAACAACTAATTTTATATTTATAAATAATTAATATATTATGATTTATTAAATCACAATAAAATATTAAGTTGTCTACATGTAATTAAGTAATTGAAAATTTATAAAAATATGTAGGTTATTAATGCATTTTCTAACATTTATTGTTAGCGTCACTGCTCTATATATACAACTTATTTATTTATTAATTAAAATGTTTAAATTTTATAACTTATAACTGTATCAATACTTCACTAAATAATTTGGCATAACTATTTAATTTTTGCATCTATTTATTTTATTATCAATTAGTTTTAAATTAAATTAATTTTTTCTCTCATTATAATTGCCTGATTAAGAAAAATTGCTTGTCGATTCACGAAAATATTCGATTTATAAAAGTAGTAGATGTATGACTTCATGTACAGATCTCGTGACACTACATCACACAAATAACATGCATTTTATTTGCATAAAATTTTATAAACTCACTGATAAATTCATGTCGAAAAGAATATTCCTAGCTACAACTTGGAGATTTCTCACTATACTGATTTAACATTCTTTGCAAGCTTTATATATCTGCCATCCAAAGATGCCGGAAATTATACTCCTTGTTATTTTCATCATTTCAATAATCTTGCGGATGAGTCGAATGCATGAACACGCATACAAAACCTGATTTCCTTGACAAGATTTTAAATCTGTGAGGATCAATCTTATACGTATAAAATCACAGAAATTGGCTAAATTTGATTTTAATAAAGTAATTCTTAAAATGTGAATTTATTTATTTAGAATTTAATAAAATAAAATTGTTAATCACATCATTGTAAAAAGAAAAATAACGTGCATCTACGTTTGATAATATAATTATAATCAAAAATTGCAGCAATTGCTGCTTACAAGATTAATTATTGTGTTGATGAGTGTTAAATAACGCGTGAATATTTTCGATTGCAATTTCATATTTTGAAAACTGTTGTAAAAATAGATTACATGATTATCACAAATAAAATTACATTATGCCAGCACAGTTAAATTACTAATTTATCAATCACAATTGTCAATAATAAGGAACGCAATTATATGAGTTCAATGCAATTAGTATTCTAAAGTATTACTAATTAAGAAAAAATTGCACTAAAATATTTACAATTTTTAACACTTTGAAAATGCTTAGGTAATTTCCATTGTTTTTTTACTTAATGCTCCTGCGCGAATTGATCATAGTTCTACTTACTATTATATGCAAAGTCCGCTTATAGAGTATGAAAATATTCTCGAATATACGTAATACAATTTTTATGTTTTGGAAGTCGAGAAATCTTACTTTTTATAAAGCAAATTTATTGCAATATTTACAATATGTGAATGTTTGTAATACAAAATCAAATTATTTATATGTATTATTCTAAAAAAACAAGTTTGTCGATAAAAAGATAATACAATAACTTGGAGAGAAAATTCTTATTACACTTATTAACATTTTGCACATAGTTTATCCGTCATTTAAAAATTCCAATATCTCTTTTAATATCTTAGACTTTTTATTTTTCTCGTCGAGTCTCAAGATTGGTAGATGTTCTTCAAGAAAATATCAATCATCCTCAAAGCATCTACCATTGATGAGCTAAGCACCACTCTAAGCTTTTTCCGATCTGTCATCTTGTCAAGACCGGTTGCTGTTGCCTATGATTTGCTGATTTTACTCACTTTTTTGTCACATCTAGTGTTTTTCCGCATTTTCCTCGGGATGTTCGGCGATGTACTGAAGAGCCTTTTTGATTAGTGGTGGTATTTCAGGCAGTGAGCACCTTTTGGCTGGAATCCGTTCTCATTAGCTACATACGAGACCTGAAAGGTATTTCCTTCCGCATCAGTAAAGCTGTAGCTACCTCGTGCCTCCAAGGCTTCCTGCTCGGTATTTATATGGTTGATGTGACCGTCCTCCTGAACTCGAATGCCAGTATCAGTGTTATAGCTGTAATTATAAAGAGGCTTGCTGTTTGGTTGTGGATAATTTGAAATAACATCTGGAAGTAGCGTAGCAGATGGAGCGCCATAAGCTACAAGTTTATTGGTGTTGAAAGAATCGGCAGGTAATCTTTGCGTTTTCGCTATTAGCACTTCCAGTAGAACGCACAAAGTGATTGTCTAGAAAGATAAAGAATTGAATAAAGAACTACATAATATATAAATCATATATTGTAAATTTGATTTTTTAATTGTATTATAAAATAAAAGAGATTTTTTGAATATTCTTATATTAACAAAATCAGTTAATTATTAATTATGCATATAACTGTTAATGAATAATTCATTATTACTACAATATATTTTACAACATATATAATTAACATATTTGTTAAAGCACTTTGCTATTATAAATAATATAAATAATACATGTAATAAATATATAATAATATTTTATTTTGCTATTATTTTATATATATTTTCTCTTTGCGTAATATATATACAGTTAATTATATTTGTGTATAATTTTCTAACATTTCAGACAAAACTCGGACTCACCAATAAATTCATGTTAAGAAAAGATAAACTTTTGTTGGATAGAAATGTTCTCACTACACTGCCTTACATCTTGTATAAGCTTTATATACCCATGCTAATAAGATTCTAGAATTTTTTTATATATGTTATGCGGCGTCTACAATAGAATCATAAAGTCATAAGAAATTAACCAATCATAGTCGATTATTCTTCTAAACTTCAACTGTAATTGGTCATTTTCTTGTGACTTACAACTTGACGACTCTATTGTATACTCCGCATTAAACTCTTCTATTTGCTTGTCATTTTCATTATTACAATCACTTGTTCATTATTACAATCACGTTTGCGGATGAGCTAAACGAATCATGCATTTACACACATACAGAACCTGATCTCCTTGAAGATTAGACTTAAGTGTTTCAAATCGCATAAAATTGACTAAAATTTAATTTATTGAACAAATATGAATTTGTTCATTTAAGATTCGACAAAATTATAATATATAAAAATATATAAAAATATAAAAAATATATTTATAATATATATATATATTTAAAAAATATATATTATAATGTGTACTTACCTTTGACTTTTAAAATAAAAATTACAATAATTGAAAAACAAATTTGATGACATGTCAAATAATGACGTATAATAGTTTGATTGCAATTTCGTATTTAAATGTAATTGTTGTAAAAACAAATTGTGCGACTTACTTTTCGCAAGTAAACCTATAAATTTACAGAATAATAAGATATAATTATATCAAGAACACAAATATGATATCAATGCAACTAGTACTCTAAAGTGCCATTAATTGGAAAATATTTGCAATAAGATATTTTACGATTTTTTGAATTTTCTTGAACACTCGAGCGATTACATTTTTTTAACGTAGTAATTCTCTGAACCGATTATGATCCTAATTAGTATCACATACAGACTCTGTTCATGAAAATAGTATAATAGTATAATAATATTCAGCTATATTTCAATATTTTTAGTGTGATTTTACAACATTGATGTCTAAAAATCTTACTTTTATGTAAAAGCACATTTATTTTAATTGTATGTGCTTATTGTAATACGAAATTAAACTATTTATATACATATTTCTCGAGAAGCGCGAGTTCGTTGAAAAAGATAATAACTTGGAATATTATCATTATATAATTATTATTATCTTGCAATCTTTATATATCCGTCATCCGAAGATTTCAGTACTTTTTAATATCTTAGACTTTTTAGTCTTGTTATTACATCATTCTAATGAATCATATATAAGTTTCTAAATGAATCAAATGCGTACATGCAATGCATGTTTTACTACATTCTTAGGGGATTTTAAACTTGACATCACGATTGTGTGTCTCATCTGCGTGTCGTCGAACAATATAAGTGCTGCTCTCGACATAAGTGAACAAATGATCATAGAGTTTATCAAATCAATTGCTACATTAATCATTAGATTCACAGATTGTTTATATACATATTAGACACCCACATGTTTTTTTCGGCTGAATTCATGATTGCAGGCTTTGCCTGCTCTTGAAAAATCATAGTGTAAATATGTGTTCAAATTAAATTATAATGTGTTTATAATAAAGAATAATTTATTATTGATACAATGTATTCTTGTCTTATATAATCTTGCAAAGTGCTTTGCAATATTGCATTTTTATGTACACATAATCAATTGTATTTCATCAGGGCCATCCTTGCGCCTGATATATAAATGGCGTAGTATTCATTATAAAGTTAAACAGCCGCAAGTCTGGATTTGACCAGATTCTAATGCGGCCCATATTTGCGCCACGTCAATTGCTGTCGAGATTTTTATTGATTTCACATTAATGTATATTTTTTGTCATATATATATATCTTGTTTTTTGGATCCTTTCCTTTGCCTGGATTTTTTGCATGCAGGGAAATTGTTAAACGAGTATTTAGACGTCTACGCAGAAATTTGTGCGCATATATATACACTCGTTAAACGGAACTCTTCGGGCCTTGTTATTAACAAATAAATTTTTTCTGTCGTAAATAATCTAAAGTAAGTAACCATACTCATAATTTTTGCAAAAAACAGGGACACTAATAATAACTACATTTTTATCGAACAGATACTTTAAGAATTGGCAGAATAAGAAAAAATTATACAATAAACAATGCAATATTATAGCTTAAACGATTATTTTTTTCTTTTCTTTTATTATTACTGATCGAGAAATTGTTTTATGCCGATTCATTACTTGATTTAAAAAATAGTAAGATCGTGACCGCATATGCCGATCTCGTGATACCTGCTTTAAATGGCGTTTCACACAACACATTTTGAACTCACTAATAAATGCATTCAAAAAAATACAGCTCCAATCGGAATTTTCTTACTATACTGATTTAATTTCGTTGGAAGCTTATAATCTGCATTCACAGATTCGGAACTTATTACATTAGATTTCTTGTCATTTTTTATCATTTCAATGAATACGTTTGTGGAAAGAGTCAATGCACATGCACGTACACATGTAAACCTGATTTCCTTGACAATATTTTAAATCTGAAATCATCTTATATGCAATAATCACAATAAGTTATTTAACTTAAATTTAAGTAAAGAAATGTGAATTCGCCTACGTACTATATAATAATCTATAGATGCTATACAAATAATTCTTCTAAACATGTTTTTTTTTAATACTCTTTATCAAATAATATTCATTTTTTATAGAAATACATTAATCGTAAAAATTATTTCTAATTATCGAATGTTGTTTTAAAAATGCAGAAAGAAGATTTACTGCCGTTAAAGCAATAAGTCACACGGAATTCTTTTCTTTTTGTCAAACAGCTGCAACGAATAATGATAATAATAATTGCTATCGTTTACAAATTTAATCACCTCATTAGTTTCACAAATTGCTTTCTAATAGCATTATGTTTTTTTCGATTGAATTTATAATTGCATGATTCACATAAGTCAACCATGTAGCAAAAACTTCTGTTTATATAATTTACATAAAACAAAATTTAATTTATATAAGTGTACTGATATATCTTTGCATTATTGATTTGTGTATATGTGTATAAGAGTTTGTAAATATATCTTTTTGTATATCAAAATTATATAAGGAAACAGTATGTTAATTTTGTAAAATTATATTAAACCGAATTATATTATAATCCTCAATTATAATCCTTGTCACTAGTAATTAAATAGGATAGTAGAAATAATCGTACCAAACTAAGCGTATATTTCGTTATTAACTCATTACTTTCGACCATGTGGTTGTGGTCTTTTCAATGAACACTACAATAAAATATATAATTATTAAAATTTAATAAGGAAACAATTAGTATTTAAAACAAGCTCGTATTATATATAAAATTAAGATTTAGAAAGACAGGGTGCCAACTATAACGAGCATATAAATTTGTTGAGAGATGTAATGTCAACACATAATTGATTATTTCTTATTAGATACAATGATAAAGAAAAATAATAATCGTTTTCGGCTGTTACTAGCCTTCTTCAGTAAATATAAAAACATAAAAATCTTTTAAGAAAAATATACATACTTACGCCTTAAGTCTCATTTTTTAATGAACATTTTTGGTTATGAGATCCTATTTAAATTGGGTTAACGCTTATAACATTTATAAATTAGATTTTGTTCTAATCGGCTAACCATTTTTTTAGTTAAATGGTACACTTTTTGATTATGTCACAAACTGTAAACGAGTTCCCTGTTGTTAGTAGAACATGACGGTCCTTCCACTCATCAATTTCTTTTGAACATTATTAGTTAAAATATCGCAGAGCCCGCTTGAATCTGAGAATGAAAAAACAATTAGATGTTATCCCATCAAAAAGTTATTCCCCATCCATATATTTCTAGTAATTCGTCATTGCGTAATATTCACCGTTATTGTTTAAATTGATGGTGTCAGATTGTCCTCGTTTGATGTGTTCAATCATACAAGTCACAGTATGATGTCATTCACATCATATTCTGTAACTTTGTATGTTACACATCAACTTGCGAATCTTGAACTAAACTCATCAATTTAAACAATCACGGTGAAATATCCTGCAATACGACTTACTCGGAATATCCTTGATGATGGGGACTAACTTTTGATGCTGGATAACATCTAATTGTTTTCAATTCTCATATCAAGCGCTCTGACGATAATTTTTAACTAATAATGTTCAAGAATTGATGACGTGGAATGGACCGTCACCCTGTTCTACTAACACCGGGACTCGTTTACATGTTTTTTGACATATCAAAAAGTTTACCATTTACTAAAAAATGGTTTAGCCGATTAGAAAAATATCTAATTTAATAAATGTTATAAGCGTAACCCAATTTAAATTCATGGACTCATTAACCAAAATGTTCATTAAAAAATAAGACTCTAATGCGTAATATGTCATATTTTTCTTAAAAGAATTTTTATTTTTTATATTTACTGAAGAAGCTGATGTAACAGCCGAAACGTTTTATTATTTTTATTATCATTGTATCTACTAAAATAAAATCAATTATGGTTGACATTACTCTCACCAATTTAATATGCTCGTTACAGTTGGCCCTGTCTTTCTAATCTTAATTTTATATTATTAACATACGCAATTCAATATGACAAAAATTGAAACAATAAACTAAAATTACTTACAATATATATCATTAAATTAAATCTTTATATTAGTAATACTGTCGATAATTATTAAACTATAAATTATATAAAAGTCAAACGATTGAAAGTACGAGAAACAAATTATATAAATTATATTATAAATAAAATATTTTTTATAAGATAATAATAATATATGAAAAAATAAACAATATTTATATAGTTTGAAAAGAAAGAAAGAATATAAGAAGATTAAGAATAGAATAATATAATAATTAAATAAAAAATACTTTAATTTTATGTAATTATACATGTATAATATATATATATATATATATATAATATATATATCTATATACTGCATGTATTTAATATTAACTGATAGATGTTATAAAAAGTTAAATATATTATATTATATGTGATAAAGGCTCATTCTTCACGTAATTTTTGAGAGGAATTATTTGAAAAGAATTAATTGATTATTATTCAAATATTGATATATTTATTTTGCAAGATTTACAATGTGCCGATGGCATAGAATTAATATTATGTGCAAATATTGTATAAATTTATTAACAATATTATACAAATACAAACATAATCACGACGGGAATAGCGGATTCTCGAGATTAACGGTCTCTACGAAGATCGAATGTATCTGTCAATCCTCAAAGTGACCGTGATCGAGTCTGCGCTAGGCTCTTTTCGATATCATCTTGTCAAGACTCGTCTGCGAATTGTCGATTTTGTCCATATTTACATTCAGTATGTTTATTCGCCGTTCTCCTCGGGGTGTTCAGCAATGTATTGAAGGGCCCTTTTAATTTGTGGCGGCACCTCAGGTAAATGAGCACCTTCCGGTTGGAATCCGTTCTCGTTGGCTACGTACGAGACCTGAAAGGTATTTCCTTCCGCATCAGTGTAGCTGTAGCTGCCTCGCGCTTCCAGAATTTCCTGATCGGTGCCCGCATTATTCAGGTGACCGTCTTCCTGAGCCTGGATGCCATTACCGGTCTCGTAGTTGTAATTATAGGAACCATCAGGATTGGGCCCATCTACAGCTTGCTTGAGAATAGGAATTTCATTGTGAGATCTAGCTAGCTCGTTGACAACTACAGGCTCGGATGCCGGTGCTGCGATTGTTACTGCCACTGCTACGAGGGCGCACAATATTCTTGCCTATAAAGACAGTAAATAATGTAGTATTTTGAATCATATATTTTACATTTGAAATTGTACTAAACATCCCAATACGCGGTTAAATTGTACTGAAAGAGGACACAAGATTCACGAATAACAAAACATTTCTACAAAGAAGATTATTTAAGCAATCAATAAATTTGGAAATATATTTGTCATTATAAATAGATAAATGTCAAAATTAGTTCAATTGATAAGAAAAATTATTGCTAACGCAAGGTATTTTCTCTTGTGTTATAGGATATGTAATTTAAGATCATAGTGAAACATTTTACGATATTATTTTCTTTTGTATATATTATAATTTATATTTTTATATAATTAGTGTGTGCTAAAAATATAAATTGCGCAATATATAAAATATATTAATTAATCTATCTAAAACCCTGATGTTCTGCTTTTATAATTAAAGTATTTCTATATTTTCGGAAAAAAACTTTTCAAGGGGAAACAGCTTAATGTGTGTAACAAAATGTACTTACATATTTATGCACTTTGTAATACTTATAATTGCTTTTGTATAGATTTATTTATTAATTAATTAAAATGTTTAAACTACACGTTTTTATCAATGTATATAGTATATATAAATATTAGAGGTAGTTTGCCATAACTATTTGATTTTTATATCAATATGTTCAATTTATAATTTTAAGTTAAAAAAAATTGTCTCATGTAACATGATTGTCTCAACGATATAAATGATTTATACAGATTTTGTAAGAATCACTCTATTTACAAAAATGCCGCAGATGCGAGACCACATATAAATATCTCATGCCACTGCGTCACGTAACATCTCTTACTCGCACAAAAACTCACACTCACCAATGAATTCATGTTGAAAAGGAATATATATTATTTTTCCTAGCTGCTGCTCGAAAGTTTCTCACTGCACTGACTTAACATCTCGTGCATGCCTTCCGCTTTATATATCCGCCACCCGAAGATTCTGGTAATGCCTTATTTAAGCCCCCCTTGCTCCGGACCTTCTATGTCCTGTTACCCCACTCCAATGAACCATACCATACATCCAAATTTTTCGGATGAGTTAAACGCGCGTTCACGCACACGCATATAGCACTTGGTCATATACTTGTGCTTATAAAATTGCAAAAGGTCGGATGAATCTGAGTTTAATAAAGAAGTGAACTCACCCATATAAAATCTGATGGACAAAGTTATAAATCATATCATAAATATAAAAGGAAAAAAATAACACGTTTTTTTTAGCATCCATGTTTAATAAGTACAAGTGAAAATCGCAGCCAAACAAATGACGTGCATTAGACTTGATGCAGATTGAGATGTTAAAAGCTATTATAAAAATAGTGCACCCACTTATTTTAAATAACAGAATACATCGACCTATATCTTAAATAAAATCTCAACTATATAAGAATATGGTAAATATATTTGCTATCAGAAATATTCACACATAGTGCAAGATATATCACAGCAGTACTAAAAGTATCACTGAAAAAAAAAGATTAAAGATAATCTATATAATATAGTAAATATTAAATAAAATCTTATTATATATTGCATAATTATGTAATAATTATGTTTGTAATATAAAAACTTTATATAATATATTGTACAAGTTTTTTATTTTTTTAAATAATAAAATTTTATTAATGAAAAATAATAACTTTGTTATTTTAAGAAAGATATTTGATCGCGCCCATTAAACTATAAAAAAATGAGCAAATAAGATAAAATGAGCAGAAAGAAAGGAAAAATTATAATTTTAAAAACATTAAATCACAGCGGGATTTGTTTTTTGTCGAAAATGATGTAGAAGTAGCGATGATAAACGCGTCATCGGGATGTAAAGAAGATGCAGATGTCTGTGCTAAAGGACAACTCATCACCATCAGAGAAACAAACATTCATATTATGTTAAAAGCAACGCATAAGATACCGAATGCGATTGACGTAATGTTTATCGTAGTCGAATCGCCGAACCCTCTACTATATCATCGTGATCTTTTTCTTCAAATATTAGTTATCGCACTGTTCAGCGCGAGTTTACTTGGATGGATTTCTGAAGTTCTCCGGCGAATGTCTTACAAATTATTGTCTCTGGGTATCGTCGCAGATAGAAGTAAGTATCACTGATTTTTTGCAAATAATCTGTCATGTTTTTTATGCTTGGTATGAATGAAAGAAGAATCATTAGATTTATCAAATCAGTTGTCAATCAGTTGTTCACGATTTTATCTAATCACTAGTTTCACAGATTGTTAATGCTAGATGATTTTTTAGCGCATTTTTTTAGCGGCTGAATTAATGATCGCATATATTTCGTATAAATTAGAATGCTAATTAGTTATAGCAGAAAACGATAATTTTTTGAATATATACATGTGCAAATAAATAAATATATATTATTTATTTTGTTTGAAAACATGAAATATATTCCCAGATATGCAAAAATATATTAATCAATATTTGATATTGTTCATATAGAAATTAATAATTATTATTGATATTTTTTATTAAATTATCTGGATTGGATTTATTCTATAAACTGTATAATTATTTGTTATTATTATTATTATAGTAAATAATTATTTAAGGACTTATTTAATATATAAAATTATATAATAAAGATATGTGAGTTATTTTAATACTTAATTTTACATAAGTTATATTATAATAGAAGTATTTTTAATTAAATAGTGGCGGTATGTAAAAGAATAAAATAACGATATAAAAATTTATTTATATACTGTACTCATATACTGAACCAAGAAAATCGACGATACAAGAACATGAAAGTTGAAGTAATATAATGGAGAACACATTAACTTTATTGGTATTAATATGACAGAGTGATAAACACTCAGATAGTAATCGTTTAAAAAAAAGACAATTTAAAAGTGAAGTTACTTGAGAAGAATCAACTATATTATCTGAATATACAAATTGATATGTTCATCTCGAAAGATTTACAACGTGCATTATTATATACAATTACAATGTACCAATATCGTATCGTAAATTTAATAATATTATTTTGCGTTGGCAACTTTCGGTTTTGAGTAACATCGCTCGCGGGCAACCTTGGGACACGTGTGAACAGTTTTCGTAACAAGTTCTTATTAAGCAGTATTACGGATATTACACAGTAGTACATACACATGTTCGATTTACAGAGAAGGAAAACAAATCGTTCTTTTCGCCATCTCAAAAAACCCAGCAAAAATTCCATTAAAAATAGAAAAAAGGAACAATTACATAAATCAAAGGCTCGAACGATCCTATTGAATAGAGTCGCGTAATAAAATTGGCGGAAACAACACAGACGAGTTGTCTAAATTAAATCAATCGGCTGTTATGTCAGATGACAAGTTTGTGCTGTCTAAGTAAAATTGTGCGCATATTTGCTATTTATTTGCATCTCCTAGTTATTTACGTCGAGGTCGTCATACATGGCAAACATTCATCATCCGACATTCGCACTCGGCAAAACTTTACGATCGTGTAATTTTCAGCCAAGTTCGAAACGCGAAAGCCTCCGATCTCGCTGAATCGCCGAAGGTCAGGATCCGCCGCGAGCAGCGTTTTGTTAGACACATCGTCACTTCATAATGAATCTCGAGAAGCCGATCCGTTTCTCTCTCTCTTTCTCTCTTCTCTTCCGTCACACAATGTATATATATGTATATTTCGTAATAAAATTAAACTCATGCGTATACGGGTTTCTAATTTTCAAATTAATTATGCACCTTCGCCTTGTATCCTCGTTAATCTTATCTTGTCGAATTTCAAGATACACTTGTTACATTAATTTAATACCGTATTTGGAATTGTCCCGTGGATTGTGGCGTAGATTGTAACGCAAACCTACGACGAACGTGTGTAATTACTTCAACATGTCTCTGGGTATTGATTGCTTACAATGAATTTCAAATCGTATAAATGACATATATGTATATTTCTTCATATGAATAACATTTTATATTTTTTATTCAAAATTTTCAACCGCACGGAAGTTTAAATTAAAGAATAAATTATATATGTATAAAAATAATTGAAAAAAATGGAATCTACAATTTTGTTAAAATTAATGTAACAGTTCCAGCGTATTATGGTACATATATTATAATAATTTTATTACTATGTACATGTAAAATAATCATGTATTGCGAAATATTTGAATAATTATCAGCATTGTCACAAATTATGTAAAATTATCGCTACACGGCCTATTAATTTTAACTGACCAATATTTCTCTCGATGATCCCGTTCGCCTCCTGCGATAATGAAGTAAGATAATTCCGTAATTCGTACCCATGGAGATCTCATCTCATTCCACTAACTCCTCCACCTCCCTCTGTCTGAACACTATATACAGCATTTTTACTTTCACGTAGCAGATGAGCCCAGCTCGCTTGAGTTGCTTCAACGAAATGTTATGCAATCGGTGATTAAAGAGCCGCGGACCGCGAACGACAGATTATGACAATTCATCACCTGTACTTTGCAGAAGGATAGACACGTTCAGCATGCGTATTCATTGGAAACGCGCGCACAGAGATCGAAATGAAAAATGATACCTCTTGAAATTACCGATACCTATGGCATAAAGCCCGTTTGTGCGAAGCCGCAAGCTAATCAATCGTACCGCGAAAAGGTCCCTCGTTATTCAAATAATTCGATGCAATTTTAATCCGGCGCCTATGCATTATGCATATAACTTGCATTTCATAAAATTGCACTTCACATACCGTTGAATATTCGCTGAATATATAGTTGAATCTTTGTTGAATATATACAACAAATAAAAGAATCTCTATGGTTTAATTAAAAAAAAAGAAAAGAAAATAAAAATAATCCTCTTAAACTGAAATGTAAATTTATTAAGTTTTCCAATTTAATGAATACAATGTTGCCTATTTAATTCTGTTTTCAACATTTTTCTCAATTTATAGTAATTATGCTAAAAATATTTAAAAATATTAAAAATACTTAAAAATACTAAAATCAAATTCGTAATCTATCATTAGAGGAAACGATTCAACATATATTTATTTCATTGATTTGAGATAGATTAGACATTTTCTTGATGTGCATACTCTAGATAATTGTGAATCATTATTCTAAATTTACAAAATTATATTTAAAGCTATTTGTAAACCATTGCTTTCTACTATTGCAAAAATTTATGTACACTAAAATTGTCTTTTATTTTCTTTCTCGTAGCGCAATCTATGATATCTTTTATTCACTCTCTGAATACTTATATAATACATCATTAATATTTACTCAATCGTACTACAAACAAGAAAAGAGAGAGATGAACACAATAATTAATATTAGAATTTTCAAATAATATTCCATTTCTAAAAAGAAAACTTGTAAATTCTATTAATAATTTAACATATTCTATTTATCTTGTTATACTTATTCTTGCTATATTAATTTTTTATTTCAAATATAATAAAGCCCCATAGAGAAAATTGTAAGTCCCAATTCTGCTTTATCGATAGTATGAGAAGAAATCGACGAAGAATCCTGCGCAAAGTCAGCTAGAGGACTCAAAGTGACATTTCCACTGCAACTTTTGCACACAACTAAAATGACATTAACATAATTAACGTGCAAATTACTTTTAATTAAAATTACTCGTTTATCCTGATTTTATAAATATTAAACACATAAAAGCAGGATAATTAATTTTTATATTTTTTGAGGAAATAATTTGTCTCTGGCATTTAAACATACTAATATAACATTTATAATTGCAAGTGAAAAAATAATGACGTATCGGAAAAATTTCACGTCATAAAATCTTAATGAGAAATTCTTTTATTTGGGCTAAAAACACTATACGAAAGATCTCGAAAACTTTCGTTCTTAGGTTTGATTCGCGAATTCTTGATTTATACATTATTTTTCTG